TCAAGCAAGTCATATAAGCTTGTGTTCAGATCAACTTGAAATTATCTTTTCTTTTTTAGTTGATTTGAATTGCAAACAAACAATTATTTTACCACACAGACATATTGTTTTCACATTATTTAAGGACATGTGAGTTTCAGTTAGCACTAGACTAAACAATTTTAAATAGTATTTATTTTACTTATTATTTATTTTGCAGTCAAGATCGCAGCAGCAGAACCAAGTGAAGTACCATCTGATGTTGTAGACAAACTCTTCCTGGACCCATTTCAGTGGAGGTTCAGGTCTTTGGAAGCCATCCAATCCCCTGTCAGTCTGACTAAGCTGCAGAGTTTTAGATTGGAGTGGGGATGTGCTGCTCACCAGCTGTGAGATTAGGGGGAAACTGATCGATGGCCTTTCTGATTGGCTCTCGCGGTGTCCCAGCAGCATCCAACCCCCTTGGTTCGGATGATTGTCCTCAGCCGAGCCAAAACCAATTCTTCCTCCACACAGGGGCCAAATAAGATCGCTGACCTGAAGCTACAAGGCCACGCTTGGAGGTTCTGTCTCCATCCGTCTGCTCTCCTCATCTCTCTGAAGAAAATGAGACAGAAGAGGGGGGTATGAAGAGACAGGATTAAATTAGAGTTTAAATGAAGAACATTTTGCACCATTGCAGAGCGACACTTTCCTTGTTTTACTTAATGTGCATTTTCCTGACATCTTTGTTGTCAGGATTGTATTAAGTGCTAATGCCAGCTGTCAGTCAAAGGCACTTTGTCTTTTTACCTCAGACTTTCTGTTCAGTCTCTGTAGGTGGAGCTCTTTTCTTTATTCTGTTCAGCCACGGTGGTTGCGGCTGCTCCAGCCAACTGCATACTTCCTCCATCTATTCAAAGCAAACGGCTGTTGCTGCTGCTGAAAATGTGAAATGCTTGACTTCCTGTGCGGCAAAGGATCTTTTTTTTAGAGGAAAAAATGTCTTTCATGAACTTTATAGAGAGTAGAAATACATCTCTCTGAAAATGTCAGGGATCATTTGTTTGAAATATAAAATATAAAAAAGCTTTAAAACTAAATTGTTGAAAGATAGTAAGGGCTGCACTTAAAAGCATGCCTCCATGTGTTTAAATGTGCAAGTGTGTGACTCTGTGTGTCTGTGAGTCGAAGGGGGACGGGGGATTTACAGAAAGAGGAAGGAATAACCTCATGATGAAAAGTGTTTGCTTCATTCACATGATATAACTGTCAAGAGACTCCTGCAGAGATCCATCTTTCATTTGCCACTTGTGCTGTGATGATGATGAACATGAGGAGGCTGCAGTGCTTCCTGTCTGCTCTTTACCAAATATTCCCTCCTTGAATGAGTGAAATGGGCACGGAGCAATCAGAAGACACAATTTAATCAAAAACACAAACTGGTCTGGGTTAACATAATGCTGATTTGGCCCATGCAGTATGAAATATGTCAAAAGTAGAGCTTCATGGCTCATTCTTGACATTAGAAGTAGTTGTTTTTTTTTTCATTTAAGTACAACAAACATCTAAAATCACAAAGATACTAGAGAATACTGAACTCCAAAATCTTTTTAACTGTCTATGTCAAACAGAAGTGGGAGAGAGAATCAGGCCTGGAGATATCTGAGGATGATTAGAAAAACAAATAGAAAAGCCAGACATATTTTCCCTTTTAAGGTTAAGTGTGTTAGTTCTAGTGACATCTAGTGGTGAGGGTTGCGAATTGCACCCCCCCGAAGTGAGCAGTATAGCTATGGTGCCTGAGACAGGACAAAGATGTTATCTATGAGATAAAAGAGATTGCCTGTCAAGAAATGAGGTTTCTTTTAGATATATTAAGAAGATATATAAATTATGTAAAGCCATATGTTTTTTTGAATATTATTGTTGCTTTTTCAGTAATAAACAACAGCCACATGAAGAAATGAAGTGTTACATGATGTCTCATACTCTTGTAATACATTATTTTACAACTTGGGAGGGTTGGCTCATTTGGACTAACTAACAAAGAAAATGAAGAAATTCTCAAAAACTATCACAGCTAGTGCATCAAGCATCACCACTGACAGATACCAGGACAATGTAAGCCTCACTGTTTCTGCACCACAGTCCATTATAAACCACATAATACATGAAGTTTACAAAGGCATAGTCAGGTGAGAATCAAGGCTCCTCTCACTTTGCTTAATTAGATAAGCAATCTGCAAATATTACCAAAATGTCTTTTTAAATTTTTAAAATACAAAAGAAATACAAAGTAATACTGGCAGCCATAATTTCAGCTTGTGGTAAAACGGTGCAACTTTTTAAATGGGCATTTAGTATGTGAAAGTAAAAATTACATATTTGTGTGCACAGTGGGAAGCTGTGCAAATTCGGAAAGTATTTATTATTGGTCACTTGATAGGCACACGGTCTTCTTCACCATTAAAAAGAAATACATGTTTTCCACCAGCTGCTGATCTGAGCTTCTCTGCTGTTACCGTTTCATTACCAATAATATTCATCATCTGTTTGTCTCAGGAAGGCACATTTCTACCAGTGCAGTAATGGTTCAGCTGGCTGATCTGAGCTTACATGCTGAACTACATGAAATTAATCCAACTAACATAACACCACAAGACACAGCACAGCGCTGGAGAATAAACCAATCCAACTAACAATAAATGTTTTTTCTACTAGTCAGTAAAAGTTTAGCTGGCTGATGCTTCCATGCTCTAAGCTAATGGTTTTATTGCCAATTAACGTTACTGATCAGCTGATTGTCTGGCTAAGTAACTGGCAAAGCCAAACCACAGGCTGGAAAATAAGTAGGCACCATGAAATTAATCCATATTTCACACCACTGACATGTCACAGCTCTCTGTGATTATGGCCAGCTTCTAGCTAAAGCTCTCAACCAACAGCTTTCATTTGCATCACTAAAGTCTGACAAACAAAGTTAATTACCTGTCCAGCAGAAAACAGACAACTTCAGCACCACTTCGAAAACATCTAATATAACATTAACCTTCCATCTGGTAAAATCCACAAAATCCGTGATCAGCTGTCTGTCACTCCATCACTCCATCTGGCTGTTGGCTCTCCTGGTAAATGTGTGCTCCTTCATTTGTCCAAATTTCACTTCTCTTCTTACTTCTAATAAACCAGAAGACTACTCAGAGACTGTATATTACTATTATTATTAGTCCCTCTTCTTCTTCTTTGTACATATTCAATGTAGTGACAGGCATCTACACTGTCGGAATTACACAAGCAGAAGAAGAACGCTGTGATGACGAAACGCTGTTTGTCCGTTGACGGCTACGGTAGAAACACAATGACAAAATACAGCAACCTCCACAGCAGGGGGTGCCCGCAGTTATGGAGATATAAATGTCTCATTCTAAGGTAATAAAAACATAATGATTCATTATGTAAGGTCTTTATACACCACTGAAAACATTAGTTATGGATATTATATTGCATTTCTGTCAATAGAGCCTCAGAAATATTACACACTGAACCTTTAAGTGTTTTTATATTGGCAAAAGAAATTTTGAACATTTTTGGAATTGAAAGTGATTGCTCTTTTGTCATCTCATACATGGGCAAAATCCCAGATAAAGTAATGGCACAGGTTGATCATCTCTTTAAAATACTTCCATAAATACTACCACAATTTAGTGACCCTTGCAAGCAAACTCTCCAACAAGGGATGAAATTGACCTTTACGCTATCAATATGTAAAATTCTGTTAAAATTGACTACCATACTTACATGTGGCTATAACATGTAATACATTACATACTGTATGTCATTGAACGACCATGTTCCTGTATTATATTGCTCATGTCAACCCATTATTTTTGCCTGAAAATATCAATAAAAATAGACAGTTAGACAATAAATTTTAAGCTGAGGTCCACTTAATATATTTCTTCTGAAGCTTTCAGCCACATCTTTTGGCCTTCATCAGCGGGCAGCGGTTTCAGACAACTGAGCAAACTTTATTGACACTTGAGCAAACGCCACAGACTGGTGAGGGCCATAAGATGTGACTTAAAGTTTTGTTGGCCTTGAGTTAAGAATTTTTTGTCAACAATGTCAAAAGTAACTTTGAATCATTTCGATCTGATAATGTAGCCTACAGTAGTGAAAGTGTCACCACCTTTCCTTTATTTATCCTTTCATGGATCAAGTCCAAATCCTGCCTAGATGCCACTTGTTTGTGATTTTTGATTCTGCAGCACTGTAAAGATGGTGAAGTGGTGATGTTGTGATCATTGTCACATATAAAGGCTTTTAAATTAATTAAACAGGCGACAAATTGAAGGATCAATCTGAATAAATGAGTAGAGAAACATAATGAATGCCTCCTTACAGGGCACAAGTGTTAAATGCAAATAGTCAGACAAAGGGTCAGATTTTAGGAGGAAATTGAGTTTTGTTTGCTCAAGCAGTTCAGACTTTGTTAGAAGCAGTATATAAATTGTCACAATATAGGCTACTATTTTTAAAAAGTAATTTATACAACAAACCTGTATAAATGAAAAGTATATTGAATGGAAATGCTTCCATGCACGCCACAAGGGGTCAGTTTGTATCTGAGACTTACTTTCAAGTCTTTCACACAAGTAATTTTTGAATTTTCCCTTTTTACCAGTTCTTTGTGTTCTGTCTTTTAATCTCTCATAAGTTGAATTGATTCAGTGTGTAATGGGTCAGGTCCCTGAGCAGGAAATCATTAAACATAGAGGAAGAAAGGGGACATCATCATGATGTTTTGATTACTGTGCTGCCATCTAGTGGGTACTTAATATCTTTGACTTGGAGGCCAAAATTTTGTATAATAATGGTGCATTTCTCACTTCTCCTGCCTCCATATCAGCTATTTTTAGCAACACACAGGAAATTCCTCTTTGCTAAAGGCTTTAGAGAAATGCCTCCTCTCTGGTCATCTAATTAAAGTTGACCTCAAAGCGAAACAGGAGCCCTTGTGAAGAAGTAAAACAGGCATCTTATTAAGCAATGTTGAACTTTAATTTCCTCTGGAATAGACACTGTTTTTACAGTATTTACAAAAGAAACTTTCATCTACAAAACACAGTATATGTGAAATTATTTTTCACCATGTGTGGTACTGTGTTTCTTCACAGCATCGTGGTGACATAACTGTATTTAATGAGAACAACAGCACAGCATTAAATGAGTTCATGCCCTTAATTGGTATGTGTTTGTGTTTTTATAATGTTTTATTAAGTTTGAAAGTCTTGAGTTCGCGTTCGAGATATTTTTCAATCATTTGGTTTCTGTGAAAAGACCTAGTAAATACAACAATTTTTCAATTTACCAATTAATATAAGCACAATATATCAGATAAAAAGGTTACATACATTAATGTAATGAATTTAAATGATTCTGTATAGTCATAGCTACCATATGGAAATATAGAGAGAGTAAGACATGTTACAATCAACAGTATAATAATCAACTATAAACAAACAAATAAACTATTTCTTTCAAAGAGTAGCATTACTATGATAAATATATATATATTTCAGTAATATATATATATATACATAAAATGTTCATTAAGTTAAGTGCCAACAACAGGGACAGTCAGTAACCCTGAGTTCATAATGTGAGCACATTGATTAGGGAGTTTCAGAGCAAACTGTGGTGGAGAAAAGTTGGCTGAACATTTCATCATGACTCGCTAACAGCTTATCAGACTTGCATTCCTCCATGTTGTGATTTTATATAATAATAAAAAATATATGTCTGACGAGTAAAAGATGGTGGAGAAGCTGATTACAACCAATCAAAGCGTCATGTGAAAAAACAACAGCAATAGATTATGCTTAGAAAATAGCAGGAAGGTTTGTAGCTTTTTGTCTATATCAAAACATGCTAAGAAATGAAAGCTGGCTCTGGATGACATTACTTGTCTTGATTAAGTGATTGATTAAGTTAATACATTTATTGATTTTAGTCATAACTTTGATAGTTTTAGGCCACATTTAATCAAAGGTCTGCTACAACGGACTGAACACACCAATAAACATTGTATTTGAAAAATTTGAGGCGCTACACACCATTGGTGTTTTTGGACTGTGTGAGCAAGTGCAGACTGTGCTTGATTGACATTGTCCTTATAGCTTTGTTTGACCTGAGCGGGACAATCTTCCTTTTTATCATTCTTATCGGTAGTTTTACAACCCCACATAATCACCAGCATTGTATGAATAGGTGAAACATCCTGTGTAGTTTTTCAGGGCAATTAAATGGAACAAGTTATTTCAAAGAATAATTTGTTAATACTCACAAAAGTACAGGATCAAATGATAGATATGTGGTGCTGAGGTACTGATACTGGTACGCTGAGGGGGAACCAAAACATCTTTATTGCCCCCTGGTGGCTGGCTGAGGTATGGGTTAGGTCATAAACCCTGCCACCTTCATGTTAAGAATGGGAGCCAAACAAAAAAATCAAAGGCTACACGTCAAAAACATTTTTCCCAAAGATAGTTTCTGTAATTTTAGGTAAGCTATTCCTTATCAGGTTGATTTATCTTCAAGTTCTGATAAGGTTGGTTTTGATTAGCCTAGTTATTTGATGCTATTAAAGGGGGGCTATACATCACGATTGATGCTTGAGCCCTTCTTGCAATTGAGTTGGCGGGGTGTAGCCTATGGGCGAGACCGTGAAAGGCTACGCAGCTCCCACCCCGACCACTAGCCTACTGCACAGACTCTGGGTCCAAATGATCACCAGCGCAAGTCAGCAGCACCCATATCCAGAATATTCTGGCTTAATCTTTGTTCAGTAGGAGAAAGTGGATCCTCGTCGCCCATCTTTAAGGTTTTCATGCTGTCCTGTCCTGTTAATCATCTTGCGACTATTATTAGGCTCCTGACCCTGAGGTTGGAAACCAATGACATGCTTCACTTTAATCACATGATAACACAATAGGTCCTTTTCTAAAAAGTTGACTTAACTCAATGCAGAGAAATGTATCCAAGTCAAACCACAAAACTTGTCAAAGAGGGTTATTAATGTCTATCTGTAAATGTTGTAGACCCACAGACACCATCCAAACCTTCCCACCAACTATGAAAATTGCTCACAGTGTGGACGCAGGTTTAATGTTTGGACCGCTGTGTAGTGTATGTACTAAACACTAAGACCCACCATGTAACTTCTTCGCCAGTTCCCTTTAATATGGGTCCAAACATAACATCCCAGCCATTCCAGCTGAATAGCTATTGACTTCACTGGAACTGTCACACTGACTTCCTTCTCTTGCCAAACACATTGTTGATGAGCTTGGCCATAGACTTGGAGCCGCTGTACCGTCGTCGGTCTGCTCTGTACTTGAGGTGCTCCATCACCTGCCGGATGAGCTGGGTGAAGAGGTTGGCAATGTCCTGGTAGCTCTCGGCTGCTGAAACCTCCTGGAAGTGACAGCGGTTCTCCTGAGCCAGGCAGCGGCCCTCGTCCTCTCGCACCTGCCGGGCGTGACACAGGTCCTGCTTGTTGCCCACCAGACACACAGGAACCTCCGTGTCCCTGAAACAGAGACATGTCAAAGTGGACCAGTGAGATGCAGAAAGTGTGGAGCCAATAAAAGCATCAGTTTCATAGAAAAGTACTCTCTGCTGAGGAATGATTTTATTTTAAACCTCTCTGGACTGGACACAAGCTTTGTTCAAACTCACAGAACTTTTTTCATTCTGTAGTCACTAAATGTAATTCTTGTGTATAAAATGATCATAAAGAAAACTATCATTCAATCTGACAATGCAGCCATGAAAACACGTCAACTTAATTCCTGTATAGCTTCAATGAAGTTTTGAGGAGAAGCAAATACAGAATATATACTTAAAATAGTATATAAACTTGCATGACTTATATATAATTTTATTTTAAAACTTTATTTTATCAGTGCCATTTATTTTAATGTGTCATAGTCACTCATATTGTATACAGATATTCAATTTTAGTTTACTTCTCTTATTTATAGTGGTGGAAGTATTCTCTTACTTTTACTTCATTAAAAGTAGCAATATCACGGTGTAGAAATCCTCTGTCACAAGTAAAAGTCCTGCATTCAAAATATACATAAGTAAAAGTTCTCATTGTGCTTAATGGGCCATTTTATTACTTATTATATAAGTGGATTGAAATTATTGATGCATTAATGTGTACATCACTTTAAAATTGCAGCTCGTAAAGGTGGCTTAATCTATAATAATTCACCTTAAATAATTTAATTATTTTTGTTAATTATATTTTCACTGTATCTGAGTCTGCAAAGTAATTAAAGTTAAGTGTAAGTACCTCAAAAAGGTCAAGTACAGTACTTCCACTCCAGCACTCTACATTGCTCTCTGTCCCACCTACACACACCTGTTCCCACTTCTCTGGTCAGCCCTGCAGTTACCTGGTTTTGTCCCTTACCTGCCACACCATCACGCAAGCCTGTGGTACATTTACTTATGCTAATAAATCTGCTGACTGCTTTTGTGTAAATGTAGTCCTAAAAATGCCCTAAAACAGGTTCTGTTTCTATTTTGGCTGATTGGATTTTATTTATAGAAAATCTTATAAAGAAAAAAATATACTAAAAGAATCAAGATTTACTGATCACAGATCTACATTTATACTCAAATACTTGTCACTGACAAAATAAATCTCTTCCCTCCGTGTTATCAGGGTGCATGACAGGCAGCCTGATGGATGTGGTTGGCCAATTTTACCAGCAGACCAAAATTATGAGGGGCCTGTCCGTGTGCGGTGAATCCCTTATTCGTCATCATGAATCATTTATCAGTTTGTGTTTGTCAGGCCCAGTCAGGACTCCCAGCATTCCCTAAAGACTGTGAGGATCCCTGTTCAGCTTCAAAGAAAGTAGGACAACAATACTCTGTTTTGTTTTTTCATCGCGTTTACAGACCTTGTGATAATTTAGTAGTTGTAAACATTTCTTAGCATTTAAATTCTCGTCCACTAAAGAACTGAATGCGATAATTAACCAGTATTAATTAAATCATCTTATAAACCAAGCTAAAAGCAAGACTGTTTCTCACTGGTGGAATATAACTAAGTACATTTACCTAAGTACTGTACGTAAGTACAAATTTGAGGTATTTGTACTTTACTTTCTTTCATGCCACTTTCTGCTTCTACTCCACTACGTCTCAGAGGGAAATATTGTACCTTTTACTTCACTGCATTTATCTGACAGCTTTAATTACTAGTTACTTTAGAAATTTTGTTATAAATTTAACTACCCAACAGATTATACAAATATTTTACAAATAGTAAAATGGTTAATACAAATTTCATGGTTCCAGCTTCACAAATGTGAGGACTAATTTGAATATTCAAGTTTGTACTATTGGTTTGATAAAACAAGGATTGTGAAGGTGTCACTTTGGGCATGTGCATTTTTACAAACCAAACAATCAATTGATTAAAGATTGAAAATAATCAGCAGATTAATCCACAATGAAAATAATCATTAGTTGCAGTTCTCAACCAACTGTAACAGTAAAATCCTGCTTTTACAATAATGTATTAGTAATAATAATTTAATCATATAATGTATAATAATATAACAATCACGGGGGCATTTGTCTGCATTGAGTAATTTTAATACTCCACCACTGCTGTTTCTATTTGCTCCTATTTGGCATTTTCAATTAGATGAGGTTTTCTTTTAACATCAAAACATAGTCATTTTAGTACATATCTTGCAAATGTGTCAAATTCTTCAGAAATACTTTGAAATGTTTTTCCAACAGTGACTCTTATCCACCATGTCTCAACTTCCTAAAAACCCAGCAGTGGCTTGTTGAATGGGGAGGCTCAGTGTCTGTCCTTCTGCGAGTTACTTCAAAATAATATAACTTCATTGTGCTTAGAACTGACCCTTTGCAGTTGTCTGCCCGTGCCTCCCGAATCTGCCGCACGATGTTCTTGGCATTGATAAAGGAAGTGCGGTCGCTGATGTTGTACACCACAACAAAGCCATCTGCCCAGTCCACCGGCTCCTCCAGTATACACCTGGCCTCTGAGCTCTGCCAAGAATACACATGGAGGTGTTTTTACCTTTCATAAATGAGAAAGCTCTTCAAGATGGAATTTCTCACGGGACACTTCATTCTATGTATGTATGAATTACTGTTGTCCCTCTTCTCCAAGAACTATTTCTATTGCTTTTTCTTGTTACCCTGAACAACATTAGCATGCAGACACGTGCAGACAGAGAACAGGACAACAAGTTTTAGTGACCTTGAGGAGAAATGAACAGTGTCGGAAGGACAAGAGGCCCGAGGACATGTCTGCGCCCTCAAACAGCAATGCCTCAGCACTGTAATAACTCACTTATCCCTTTCTCTTTATTGACTCTAAAGTTTCTTTACGAAGCCCAGGTCAGAAGGGCAGGACATCGAATCAGTGCTTCTTATGAAAGGGGGCGTTACAGTGAGTTTAATTGACAAAGAGAATGACTGGCTCTTGTTCTGCTGAGCCAAGGGGTATTCCAATAAAATACTAGCTCTGTAGTAAAATACCTATCAGGTCTTTCGTCTTGCTGAAAGAGAAGTAAGCAGATTATGTGGCTGTTTCCTTCAAAGAGACAGCTATTGGCACACAACGCCTTGGGACACTCTCATAAACCCTTTAGAACTGAAGATCTGATCTGACCACGGTTCACTGAAGGTCAGGGACATGTACTGCCGCTTACCCAGTAAACTGAAGATTGGACAGTTTTTACTGTTATCTGAAATGCTTGTAGCTGCAAAACAATTATTATGTTTTTACCTCAGCTGAAGGATTATATCATCTTTGAGGGATTCAGAAAATTCTTCCATACTTCTCTTGACCCATTACATTTTGGAGATAGGAGGTTTTCTACCAACACTGAATGATTTATTGACTTATTGCCTTAGGTTAATAAAATATTGGCTGAGGTCTGGCCTGTAAAGTGATGATTATCACAAGTCAAACAAATACTGGAATATGAAATTTTACTTTCATATGGATGTCTTTAATGTATTTTCTTGAAAAGACATAAGCCATCAGTCTCAAATTCCTATTTATATAACTTATCCAGTGTCAGGTCCATCAATCCATTAAGTGCAAAGAAAAAAGTAGAGTGGATTTCCAGTCCACCTGATGAAATGAGGGAGGAAATCAAGGAACTCAAAACAGAAAAGTATTTCAGGAAAAAAACTACTGTGGCTCTGCTTTTCTAATAAAAGGTTTTCCGAAATAATATGACAATATTGTGTTAATGATATGGTGTACCTGAGAACAAGGATCAAAAACTTCCAAATTCAGTTGCCTGCCATCGATTGACAGCCTCTTATGGTACAGGGAATCTGTAATGAGGATTAGAAACATAAATAAAACAGCATGACAGTACACAGTAAGATGTAAACAGTATGATTACAATATTGACTGATGGTAAATTAATAGAAATTCTTTGTTTTGCATTTAATCATACAAATATTGCTTTTTTGTTACCTTTTTCTCTAATCTTGAGTTTAGCTTGGTTTATTTAGGGATTTTAAAGATGCAATAATCAGTATTTTTGCATTAATAATGGAAAATTAAATGACTATGTGTAAGGTAAAAGGTGTTGCTTGAAGTGACAAACCACAAAGAATTATCACCCGGCTGTGCAGGTTTCCTCTGCTCTACATAGCTTTTTACCATCTTTCAGCTCATTGTTTTGGTTTTCCAGCCCCCAAATTTACTTTTTGTTTATTCTCACCATTATCAAAGAGCATTTAGCAGCTAAAGAGTCGGATATTTCCCCCAGGATTTGAGAATAAATGCTAATGTGCATTTAGCTGTGGGTTAATGTGCAACAGTTCGCTAACACGTTCATTTACAGCTTGTTCTACTGTACCCAAGTGGCAAACAAAACAATTAACCAAAATGTCTAATACTAAGAAATGGTGCACTAGAAGTAATTGGATTTAAATTTGAATTATGCTGTTTCAGAAGGTATTATGAATTATTTCATGGTTGCTCAGGTGAAATCTATGCAGCACCAACCAAATAGCAACATTCATGATGTCTGAAGATAAATTCTGTTAAACTGGGACCAAAACCAAACGCCATTAAATCACAATCAAATCTGGAAACACTTACTGGCGTTTGAGGCATATTCACCAATGAAGCGCCTGGTCAGGAACCGCACAAGGACAGCTGGAGGAAACATAAAAAAACAACAAAATGACTTATGGCATCATTACACTCTCATCCCTCACAGGTGGCAGTGGTAGGGAAAATGACCCTCATTCACTGACGCAGTCACAATGGTGCCAACACTTTCTGGCATTGGAGCAGTTAAACTGTAGGCTCACATGAAAGGGGCTGCATGGCTTTTCTGGAAGGCCTGTGTGCATATTTGGCAAGCTTATTGGTTATATTTCCCCCTCTGCTTCACCTCCAGACTGTGAGCTACAAAACACTGACCAGTTTTGGTCCCACAGACAATCAGTTTCAATTAAGGGCTGAAGTTTCAAGTGCTGAACTCTGGAAGCCTGTTCATGGTGGTCACGGGCCTCTGAAGGGGTTATCCGGGGGTTATAGAGGGGACACATAAATATGAATATGGCTCATCTAGTTACTCATGCACACATTCTGGAAAATGGAAATGAAATTCAAAACACAGGACACAGTAGTAATTATTTTGGGGCCTTCTTCACATTAACATTGAAACATTCAGAGACTAAAACAAAACAATATGAAATGTGCTTTGAAAGCAACAAGCAACAGAAAAGAGCAGAAAAACATATTAAATAGACACATGCAGCCTCCAGAGGCTACAGAATCTCCACAGTAACAGTTCTGCTTCAGTGCCAGGCTGCTAGAACGGAGACCCATTGTTTTACGAGGCTTGAACACAGCACAGAAACTGAACACTGATACATGCAACAAGATCCCAAGCAGCAACAAGGGTCCTATAACCAGATGCAGATTCAAGATATGGGCACATAAACTGTTGTTTTGGGGGGGCTGGAACATAAAACCAGTGAAAGCAAAGGTTTATGTCTGTTACTAGTTGAAAAAATACAGCTTAAACAGTTAAGGTTACCCTAGCTTAACATGTAACAAGCTAAATTAGCCCACAGCGATGTCCAGGTAGCCTAAGATAGAAGTCTTTATCTTCAGGAGACCAGTACATGTAGTTTAGTTTAGTGTATTTTAATTTTAATTCTCTTTGAGCATCTAAGGTTTCAGCTAGCTGCCAGCACTGACTCATGTTAATCCAAAATTCAATTCACAAATCTCTACTCTATGAGAATTAGGAAAATAAATATAAACGTACGCTATTTAACACTAATAGACGTTGGTGTGTTCCAGTTACTGTTTGAGCTGTATCAGCAGGCCTTTACTGTTGCAGTAATAACAACATAATGTAAAAGTCCTGGATAAATTAAGGTTAAAAAAGCCTCCATAGCCGAGATCATGTCACCTTTCTGGAGAGTTAGTAAAATATAAGCCTAAATCAAATCAACCTCACACTCATCTCATTTGAGCATAAACCAAACCGGCTCATCTACAACGTTTTCTGTAAAGCATTCATACACAATGAGACACTGAACCTGTTTCTATTGACATCTGTTATTCAACATACAGTCACTACTTAATGAAGATTAAATCCACCCAAATGTTGAATAATGCATAAATATATGATGAGAAGTCATTTTCAGGTAATCACACTTAGTATTTTTACCCACCTCAGAAAGTGTGTGGTATTGCATCATAACAAAGACTGAGGTTGACAGACTAGTTTAAATTTAATTTGAATGTCTGGAGGGGAAACCAAGCAGGATTAGTCAATTAATTGATTAGTTGATCAGTACAAAGTTAATCTGCAACCATTTGAAAAAGCAATGAATGTTTAAATCTTTTTCCAAGCAAATATGTCAAACATTCTTATAACATTGTAAATCAAATATATTGGTGTGTTGGCTGGAAAAATTAATATAATTTAGCACGTCACCTTGAACTCTGGGAACTTTTTCTCTATTTTGTGATGTTTTGTTGATTACTATATTAATGGAGAAAATAGATCAATCAATAATGAAAATAATGTATCACACAGAGGTCCTGAGAAATTACTTGGAGGTTTTTTAGAAGATCAACATCAAAAATGATAGATACTACTGTACCAGTCAGGTATTTGTATTCAAAGAAAGTCTAAAACTGGTATATACTATTTCAGTATGCTGTATAAAGAAGTTTTCCAAGCATGAAACTGTGATTTGTTATACACCAAAAACCATCATCCAGTGTCAAAAAGAAAGTAACAAATATAACTTTTAAATGGCATCATACACAGTGCAGAAATGCTGGCTGAAAAACCACAGGTATTCTCTGTTCAAAATAAACATCACTTCCAGCCACTCACCCGATTTCCCAGCCCCCTGGCTTCCCAGCAAGGCCAACTTGATGTCGTTCATGCCTGTGCTCTGTCAGGTCCTCAGCTGGTTCTCTGGCCGCAGCTTTGTGTTGTGTCTGGTATCTGGGTTATGGTCGGCTCACTAAATGCTCCGTGCAGTCCAGGCTGGATGGGAGTAAAGGACTGCCCCCCTCTCTTCCTCTTCAAAGGGCTGTTTCACTTTTTAAAGCTGGAGGGAGAGGAGAGGGGGGGAAACAAGCGCCCACTTTTTCTCTCTCTATCTGTTTGTGTGCCAAGAGCTTTTTTCTCTCACACCTCTCTGTTGTCTGTTTTCTGTCTCTCTCTCTCCTGAATCCACAAAGCACTGTCTTCACTCTTTACTCTCTGCCAATCCATCTGTTTTCCTGCTTTCTTTCCTCTCTTGCACCTATATATCTCTCTTTTCTGTCTCTTACCCCTCCTACAGAGAGGTTACTCAAAGGTCATGGCTGACTAAACCTATTGTGCTGTTCCAACTCTGGCACTGTAAATGTAGTCCAGCTGCCAACTATGGACATTTGTGGCATTTTTCATAGTTTAATATTATGGAGGCCCATTCCCAGAATGAAAAGGTAAAGATGAATTGATGAATTGATCAAATACTGGGAATGAGAAATATAAAAATACTCACAGTAAACAACAATTATGATATAAGTAAAAGGAATACAACCTAAAACTCTTAAAAAAGACAGAATCCAGAAAGTGTCTGCGAAACATTCACTGACAACAGCTTTTTCTACAATATTCGCCACTTCAAATAAAATATCCTGGCAATTAAAACATGGTTAACACTTTTTTATGTTATTGATGCTGTGTCATAATCTATCAAAATTTTGATCTACTGATCAAACTTATTAGATTTAAATCTGTGTATGGTTTGTTCTTTGGTTATTTAATTTCCAAACCAAATCGTTTTTTTGTTTTTTTGTTTTTCTGTTTTAAAACAGAAACGGAAAAACAAAGCAGCTGCGTTTTGTTCTATCTATGACCGGTGTTGTATCCCTACGGGTTTTCAAACTAACTGGCTGCTGTACAACAGCTGTGGTCTGCTTCAGGCTTCATCCAACCAAAGAGAATGTTCACCGACAGTCCGCAGCACACCAGGTCTCTCCCGTGACCTCCTCTCCCTCACCCTGTACACTCCAGCGCCCCGCTTCCTAGCCAGTAGACCTAATACACGTTGTGTTGCCAGTGGAACCGGCGCACTGCACAGTCAGTGGTCACATAGCCTAATCCATGTGTCTACTGCAGCTGGAGGCTCTCCGCAGCGCCGCAAAACTTTCTAAATTCTTCTCGGGAAGAAAATAAAGGTCAGCTGGGAGAAGTGTAGAACCTGAACGAAAATTACCCGAACCTTTTAATCTGTGATTCGTTAACATACAGCTTGCCGATTTAACTAACAACTATTTTAAAAGTTCATGTTTGCTGTGTACCATTGGATGCACTCACAACTATAACTGAATTAATTTGATACTGAAGAAATATTAAAAACCGGGGGATTCTAAGGCAAATTCTGAGGTGTTTCTGTTGCTTGGTCACCGTCAGTGATCATTCTCTCTGGTTGGATGAAGCCCGACCATAGACTGTATATAGCCTGACGCAAACCATTGCTGTTGCAAACAACAGGCCAGGTGTAGGTTGTGCCCCGCTCTCCCCTACAGCAGCCAGTTAGTTTGAAAACCAGTAGGGATGCAACACCGGTCAAAGAAAGAACAAAACAAAGCTCCTTTGTTTTCTGTTTTGGTTTTAAAACAGAAAAACAAAAAAAACAACTTGGTTTTTTGGTTTTTCCTAATGAAAGAACGAACCATACACAGATTATTTACTAGGGCAGATTTCTGTATACTAAGTCAAAATTTTAATACAAAAAATCTATATTTTGACTTATCTGATAACTTAGTATCTCTCTTAATATCTCATAATCTTTACTTTGAAAATAAAAGGAAAAAAAACACAACATAAATCCCAAATTGCATCAACATGATGAGGAAACGTTTGTAATGAACGTATCTGAATGTTCATACTGAAAAAGTTTTCATAACCTTCACTGAGTGACATATATATATATATATATATATATATATTGAGTATGATTTTTTATGTCATATTTAGGTAGTCAACACTTTTGCAAGATTAGGGATCGTGATCTTGGTCATGAGGTCATGGTTGGTTGTGGTCATGGTTAAATATTAAATTAAGTCAGTGACTTGAAGCATAATTTCCCAAAGTTACATCTTAATATGAGTATTTCTATTGTTCCCAACAACAGTATTTTTCTGGCAGAAATAGGCTTCCATATGAACGATCCGTCCATATTCTTACTATCAAGGTTCAAACCCAAGACTTTCTTGCTGTGAGGCCACTGTGCTATCCACTGGGACTGCTGCCCCTTCCATATGATGTTCAGTTCAAATCAAGAAATTGCATTTTTATTTCCTCTGGTGGTGGGGTGATTGTTAACCTGTCTTTGATAACATCTGTAAACTTGTTGTTGAGTATAGTGTACAGAGGAAAGACATTTTTTGACATTGCTCTATGTATTTTCACGAAGGGAAGGCAGTGATGTGATAAGGAAAAAATGTTGATGATTCTGGTTATGTACTTTATCAACCGTCACAGCTCACCAGACTGAAGCAATATAGTAAAGTTGATGCTTTGAGTGCAGTGTAGAAGTAAAACCATGAGAAGGCCACCAATAAAAACACTGATCAAGGCATCAGTCATACTCCTGACATCAAATTGAATTGATTCAGACAAGCAATCTATTTCTTTCAGCTTCAGCCACCACACAAAATGTGGCATATGCAGCCAATAAATCATTCTCCAGTAGCTTCGAATTCACAGGCACTAAAGCCAGCCAACAAAATGAATATTCTTTAGACTAAAACCACATTTTTGTCCCCCCTGACCCTCTTGTTCTGGGCATTTTGGGCCCATTTCCCAACTGGCTTCATTTGATCTTCCGTCTATCTGTAATGATCTATCTGTTTATGTGCAAAGTCACTGATCCTTTTCCAAAAGAAAGTCTTAAATTTTATCACTTGACTTTAGAAAGGGCTGTCATGACTTGGCGGCACATGTTTTAAGTCTTATTTTTGGGTTGTTTTAGTCTATTTACATAGTTTCATTATGATTATAATGTTTGGAATGACAAACCCCAAAATTTAGGATTTCCATAGCCTGATCGTTTCAAACATTACGAATGTAAACAAGGCTTTTACAGTTTATTATAAATACAGTACATTATTCCACATGTTAGTCTTTGCATCAAGAAAGTTGTCAATTAATTTGAGAGTGAAGAAATGTTTCAAAACCTCCTTTTTTGGAGATTGGGCCACTCTCTTATTGTTGACTTCATGGAGTTGGACCTTTTAAACTGTGAAACAAAAGCTGCAATGAAATGGAAACAGACAGACCACATTATGTACGTCCAAAGCCGTTCAAAATGCACGACATGCAGACTGAATGGGCTTTTGAAATGTTTACTAAATTATGCTCTTTCCATTCTGTTATGTTTAGATATCATTTACCCTGCAAATCAGTGTGTATGAATCAAAATAATTGGAACCAGATAACTTTACGTTTTGCGAGTAAAGATGAGGACTGAAATAACCAACACGTCACTTCTTTGACTCGCTCATCAGAATAAAGGGGAATGTGGAGTAATAGAAGGATTGATATTGCATATTAGGAAAATATGTGTGTCCCAATCACTAAAGATTTTTAATCAGCTTTGAATGCTGAAACACTTGACCTCAATCAGCTGCATGCACTTTGGATCAGAAAAAATAAAATGCTAAAACTGTACAAAACAATTTAATAAAATCAGAACCAAATTCTTGTGTTTTACTTCCAAGGTGAATAAACAGAGGAAGGTCCAGCCATCCACGGCCGTTTTTAATCAGGCAGAGAGGGAAAGATCATTTCTCCTGAGCCGATCAACACGTGGCTGCAAAGAGGCTTTCACGTGGGACGACGTCATGTGCCCACAAAACTACACACACCAAGAAACACATTATTCTCACCAGCTGCATATACACACACACCAAAAAAACACTCAACAAATCAACTTCAAAGGGCACCACGCACATCAGCAACATCATTACATAGCGTCTGTGCACTAGGAATCTGTCTGAATGGTTTCTGTTTATTCTGTGAAATGAGATTATCTTCCATGTGTGACATGGGAAAAGTAATGTTGGACTGGAGATTTCCTTATGGCTGTTAGCCAAGCGGAAGATGCCATTTCAAAACTAAACCCTTAACTGTTACTGAATGTTAATGGAATTTGGTGGCCAGCCTGATACGTCATTTTGACGGGCGCAATAAGAATACATTGAAGCCGGCTGGAGCCATCTACTGCACGGATTTCAAAACCTTTTGTACCTACTAGTCATTTCAACCCACAAAAATATGGAAATAGGTCCTGGATTAAAAATAACGAAAATACCCTTTAACTCAGCCTTAAAATTATATATACAAGAAAACTGTAAAAACCTTTGATTTTGTCACAAGAAATGTCAGGATGTATGTAAAACATGATTGATGGCAGCCATCAATCATTTTGACAGAGGACATCTTATCTGAGAAATGACTTTGATATTTAAAATTGCAATTCTAGCCCTATTTGTTCAGTTAAAGTTATTTATTCCCTTCACAAATTCACATAAACACCTTGAACCTGTTGCTGTACTGAACCAGCATCCTCAGTGTAGCAGACACAGGATGGATTGATGAACTGCAGAGGCAGCAGCTGTCCAACCCAAAAGACATGGACACCCTTCATTCTTCTTCTTCTTAATCTTCTTCTTCCTCTACTTCCTTCCTGAAGTTTGATTCCCAAATTTGGGCATCAGAGAAGATGTTTCAAGGTGTTTCCATAGCTAAGATGTTAAAATTAAATGACTGATGGTGCGTTGAAGGTGAGCTTAATCTATTTTGAGGTCTATGGCTTTTAAACCATGCAAATCTCAAGATAAACACAAAAATTTATGTGTAACATTATCTTCTTTTTGTGTTATATCCCAGAGTGTCAAAAATACAGTAAAATGTGTCTTTACTGAGCCAATTTTCATACCCCAACATGGCTAATAAAACATAAAGGTGATACAGTAAGCTATATATCAGCTCTGCTCTCAACACTGTCCAAAGAAAACATCATACACTTATCCCACTCCCAAAAATGATAATTCAAGAAAACAGTGCAACAACTTCACAAGACTATAAGTGAGGAAATTATTCTGAATGAATCTAAATAACACAAAGAGCACCAACAGATCTCTCGTGTACATCTTAGGCATCTGTGCCAAAGCAATGAATGAAATATATCATGTGTCTAATCTTATCCTAAGCTAATGCTTGCTCTTGAGTTTGGTCTAAACATTAGATGTAGGTCTTATATCAAAAGAAGACCGCTGCTGCCAGAGGAGAATCTGTCTTTTCCTCCTTTTGTGTGTATTAGTGATTCATCCAATTCCAGACAGTGAGAGGGGAGCTACATGCGGGCTTTTGATGTTCTAAAATGAAACATCTGCACATTACAACACAGAAAAAAGAGAGAGAGGAAGAAAGGCTGAACAGAGGGGGAAAAGAAAGCTTACTGGACTGAATAAAGTGGGTTTAAAAGACACAAGAGGGACATAAACCTCCCTTTGAAAACATCTCACAGTCAATTTCCCCCATTTTATCTTAACATTAACCACAAGGCTTTTGGCCCTTGAAAGCTCCCTCTCATGTTTCTCTGTATATCTTCATTAAATAGTTGTCAGTTTTTAGATCTGGGTGTGCACACAGATCTAAAGACCCTATGTAGTGTTTATGGCCAAAGTGTTGTATCAGTGGATGCAACAGATTTGGTCCATTTGAAAGTCTTTTATTGGGTTCATCGATTAAAAGCACTCATGGTGCAGCTTTCTTGATAGATTATATTTCATATAAGAACATTTTGGCAAGAGTGTATGAAAGTAAGAGCTTTTTGGCTCAAAAGGCAATTACTCTCAGAAAGCAGTCACTTTATACTGTTTCCTGTTTCACAGTTTATGCAGACCTGAATCTTGGAAGAACAAAATGTCCTGAAACACTGAAAACTGAAAACCGCCATTAGAGACTGAGAGCAACAACTCTCAGTGAGCAGACTACCAAGGACTGCAGAATCTTTATACATTATAACAAGATATCTTTCATGTTAGTTTGAAATTTTCTTTATTACATACCAAACTATTCCACTTCTACAAGAAACCTTTTTGTACCACCTTCTGTCTGCAGTTATAACTGTTAGTAAGGCATTAATAAAGGGTGTTGAGTTTGTCAATATCTAATAAGCCATCTGCCAAAGTTAATCAATTGACAGCATTCATAAATGTTAACAAATCATTAATAAAGGATTCATATAGTAATCCATAAATACTGCAGATTCTTTGATGTTTATAAACTGATTTTGGTCTGGATGTCCTGTAGCTCATTTCCAGAGGGTAAGTGATCACACAAACTTCCTGATGAATTAGGAAAAAGACAATGCAAGTGTGATCATTTCTATAACAGGCAAGGGTCAACTCCGGAAAGGCAGTACAAACAGGCAAACTTATCAAAAGGGGTTAGGGAAAGAATCATCAGTCCATGGATCAGGCAGAAGGTCAGCCAGGCAGGTCACAGATAGGGTGAGGGTGGTGATAGCTCAGTCTATAAGACACATGCTTCTGGTGTGGGACTGCGGGGTTTGATTCCCACTGAGACATCCACCAATGTGTCCCTAACCGAGACACTTATCCCTTAGTTGCTCCAGAGGCATGCGACCTCTGACATATACAGCAATTTCACTTTGAGTAAAACCGTCAGCTATAATGACTAATTTCTATTTTTAGGTATCGGGCTCAAGAGTAATAGCACAAAGCAACTTTAATGACCTGGAAGGGAATAAGTTGAAATAGGCAGGTTCAACATTGCACGGCAGATGAGGGAAAACGGAAAAACTGTGAGTAAGGAAGTCAGGTAACTGGGGACTAGAGGAAAAGGGGTTACTGCAGGGCAGATGAGGGACAGTGAAAACAGATGAGCAGGTGGATGAGGGAGTCAAGTGGAAAAATCTGAGGGCATCTGGTGGACAGGTAGAGAATGGCAATGAACGCGTTTGGGGAACTACAGTATATACAGTCGATGTTGGGGAACGAAGTAGAAATGTTGCTGGGTGGAAAGGCTAAATGTGACACTTACCATTAAAACAACAAACCTTGCTCATTAAAACACAATAGGTTGGTATGTTGTTAGGGTAAAAACACAGACAAACTGCCAGTTTGCCACGAACTGGCCCAAACTCAATAAAAAAAAATGGAATCACACATTACTTTATAGTGAGCTTAATTGTGAGGGTAAAATAAAAAATTATTACGCTAGGTTAATCAGGGACTGTAATGAATTAGTAATGAGTAAAGTGTGTGATGTGCACAAACAAAACACAAAACATTAACCATCTGGCTGGTGGAGGCCTGTAAGAGGAATGAAAGATGTTTGAAGCCACAAAGTAAACTGAGGCCTAAGCTCAGGTGCAGGCTGATTCCCGATGTACTCTACCACTCTGAACCAGGAATCCAGATCAATCTACAGGCAACCGGCAGGGATAACGTCCACATTATAACATGAAAGTGAAAGTTTATCATGATATCAGTGGTACACTGCAGTAGATTCCTACTGTCCAAATAAATATATTCTGATACTGATTTTTGGTAATTGAATTATTTGTTTGTTGGTTTATATAATGGAGAAAACACATAAAACATTACAAAGGGATAAACAATTCAACAGTGGTGGAGGAAGTAGTAGTATTTACTTGAATAAAAGTACCAATACCACACTATATAAATACTCCATTACAAATTAAATTTCACCATTTGTATATTAGCAGCTAAAGCACACCTGAAAGAGTGTTCTGTTATATTATTGGTTTAATACCCAACTGTGTACGCACCATTTGAATGTTTTAGCTGGTTGGTGTGGAAATAGTCATATTTTAGATATTGATCAGACACTTTATCTTGTATACGTTGGTATATTATATATACCATATATATTACTATATATATACTTCCTACCACTGTTTGAATTCAGGTTTTAAAAATAACATTTTAATACACCTTAAATTTTTTAATGACATTGCTCTGTATGATGTCATTCAGAGAGCATGTGTCGCTGTCATCTTGTGAGGTGATGAAAACAACTTAAGTCTCACTGCAAATACTGTAATTTCAAACCTTTATTTGGCTCCAATATAAGGTCTTAGACACAAGCACGCCCACTGGTGGGGGAATTGTGTGTAGCAACAGCAGGAACCTGGAGGAGCACATTGACCAACAACTACAAACCAAAAAAAATTTAAGTGCAAGTAAGTAAGAATTTAAGTAACTACTAACATGTTTCTTCATAATATGCACAAGGTTACATGTGTTTTGTTTTGAGGGAGGCAGGTGTGGGGGACACATTTCTTACTGTAATTTAAAAGAAACTGTACTTTTGCAGATTACAAAAATGTGTTCCCCTTCATTCAGCAGTTACCTGAGATACAGTAGATAAACGATCAACCTGTTTACAAGAGCATTATTTGTCCTTATTTGCTTTTGTTCATTTCCCAGCCTAGTGATTGGTAAACGCTGCCTTCACATTATGGTGTCATACATATGTTTTCTGTCTTTCAGCTACAGTTTGACCTATCAGAATTTGACTGATATAAACTTTATTTGTATCTTATGTATAGAATTTGATCTTATTTATAATTAAATTTCATGTTAAAATCAGAATTTAAAATAAGAAAATAAGAAACTACAAATTCAGTTTAGCAAAATTCCTAAACAAATCAAAGCTGCACTTTCTCAACTTCTTATGCAAATTCTGAACATAAGATTCAAGGTCAGTCCACATAGAGTTCAACAACTTCATAACATAACTGTCATCTGTATTTAGTGGAAGAACGTACCAACGAACCAGACAAAATGGGTCTTAAGAGTGTCTGAAACGGTCTGGGACTAAAGAAAGTATTGATTGGGAAATTATGTGTTATATTATAGCCTATATTTTTTTCTTTGTACTTGTTCTCTCTGTTTGTCATTGATTGATGGATTTTGAGTGTTATGTAGTTTGATTTTATAAGCATTTACAAACCCTCTGAAATAGTAACAACGAATAAAGGAAAAAATACACCGGACTCTGTTGAATAATCAAGTGAAAAATGTGTATATTATGAAAAAGTGGAGAACCAACCAGGTGCGAGGTTTTTTCCATGCTTATGTTACCACATATACCTGGATAACCTGAGGCCCTAATTTAAGCTTAGAAGAGTTAACTGAAGTACAATGTAAGTCACAAATTTAATAAAACATACAGTACATTTAAGAAGTAGATTGACCTCTTTAAAAAATCATCTTCTTCAAACGTGGTTCTTCAATTTTACTCTCCAGGAAAATGTTCAATTCACATTTCATGAGATCTATATGAAATCCTACTTCATTCCAAATAAAAAAAACAGTATCACTTCTTCCTGAAATTCTGTGAAAATACCTGAAATATGAAAATGATTCAACCAGCTTAGATCCCGCAGCACATAATGTTTGTAACCGTTTTCAAAATCAACATCTTGATTTTGGAATAAAGCGCTTCACCTCAGCACGTTCTCCATTAATTAAAAGACTTAAGGGCAAATAGCATATAACTCATGTTTAAACTTACAAAGTTACATGTAATATTTTTTCCCACTAAAGACGTATCTCTTCTTCCTGTTGTTTTCCTTCCTCTTCCTGTTAAACCACTGCAGGCGAGCTCTGTCTGTTCTGTCCTGGCTGGCCGATGGGAATGTCCGGTCAGGAAATATCTCCTTCAGTTTGCTCAAGAAAAACCCCTCCAGGTTTCGACCGGCCTGGGCCACCTCTGAGTCTGGCTGAAAAGGGAGAGGAAAAATATTTTTCTAGTTTAAACTTTATTTATCGAGGGATACTTCACTTATAACAGGCTAGTTCACTCTAGTAAAGTCACTTTATTTCACAGGCCTGCACACTGTAAGTCTAGTAAATATTTTGCAGATCTTGGGCCAATAAGGAGCAAGACCATTTTAAGATCAGACTGCTTATGTGGTAATAATGGCATTACAGGGTCTAGACCGAAATACCTCAACATCTGTTTGATGGACTGCCATGAAGTTTGGTAGATGTTTATGGTCTCTAGATGATTAATCATACTGACTTCTGACTTTTAATTAATTTCTCCAATACTATGGTGAACAAAGAAACACCTGCACATGACGACATTCCAACAACCTCAGCTGCACTTGTTTAGTGGTAATCAGCAAAGGTTGCTACTATGACGAACATTACCTGCTATGATGAATGCATTTACCTGCTAAACATCAGCATGTTTAGCAGGTATTGATGAATGTTAGAGATGTCACCTGAGATTAAATATTTACTGGCAGATGGACACAACCTGATTGGCAGTCTCTATGTAAAGAAATCGAAGTGGAAAGGTGGTGAAGTTTTTTGTTACATGTGGAACTTGTTCCCACAGGCTACAGTGCAGAAAAAATTAAATTACACTAGAAATTAGATTAAAGTGGCAAATCCCTCAGATTCTAACAACCTTATGACAAACATACGTAATTGAACGTAGCGCAGTTCTTGAACATCAACAGGACGTCATCGACAAACTGCTCGCGGTGAAGTAGTGGAGGGTGTTGCTCTTGTCCAGTTTCCTGCGGATCACTGACAGGTTGATGGGCCTCTTGATGATCTGGTAGTAGTTTCGGGCCTGGAGCACATTCACGGAGATTAGATCATTGTTGTTGTAGAGATTGTTTTGATTTTAACATTGCGGTTTGTTATGAAATTTAAATGGAAAATTTTACATATACAGTACATTAAGCCAGTGTTTTCTTAGGTAGGTTGTTATTACCATTACATACTGCCATACAATGTGCTGCGTCTGCCCTGCAGAGTTTTAAATGAGGCCAGCAGTGTAGGTCTTCCCTTTATTATAACTAAATTATGTTTAATAAGTTGCTTGGTTCCATTTGATTTACAGAAAAAAGCCATTTATTGGGATAATAAATTCATGGTAAAAAATTTTTTTTTTTACTATTTATTTAACTATTTATTTTTTAGGTTTATATGGTAGATATTGAAAAGGAGATGCATAATATTTGCTGTATACTATTTTGAAATTTTGTATTTAGACATGTAATGTTGATTTTTGTTATTGTATTTTTTGTATCTTTAACCAATAATGGTGATATATAACCCCCATATAGGATGGGCCCAATATGTGTCATAGCATGAAAATAAGAATTAACTAACTACACCACGCTGTAATTTTCTTAAATAAAGGCTATCATTTAGTTATTTTTGTACAGTTTTGCACTGATATTTGTCATTCAGTACTGTCAGGGGGATTTATTTGATGGGATTTCTATAAGATAAACATGTTAAAGTATAGATTTTTAATGGAAATCTGTTGGACTGACCATAGGGCTGACAGGCTCATGGAACGGAGCGCTGAGTTGGTGACAGTACAACAGCAGAGTCAGCTTCTCACACCTCTGCACAGGAAACACACACAGAGACATACAGTCACTAAAAACATCTGCTCACCTACTCATGGGCTGATACTGTATCGACGTCTGGGAAACAGCTTGTTAGAAAGAAAAATTAAAGTGATGTTGCTGCTGTATTGTTTTTTTTCTCAGTTGACTATTAGTACAGTGAGTGAATTTCATGACTGTTTGCCCACCAGAACCTGCTTTTCCTTTCCCACCCTAGTTAAGAAAAGAAATTTGTAATTTTACATCTGATCAGGGTCAAACAGCAGCGCAGAAACCAAAGGGATTTTACAGCTCACCCTCTGGTCCTGGTTGGACAGTGTGTAGGGAGCTTTGACTCCCCCACAGGACTGCATGTTCTCACAGTCGTAGGTCTCCACAGGCTCCTGGTCAGTTCTGCACAGCGTACACACCCAGTCACCTCTGTGGGACACACATAAAAAACATTCATTGCAATGTTTTATTATTTTTTTTCAACAAATCCCGTAAAAAGACCAAAATCAAGTAATGTTTCCTACAAACAACTATTGTCTGTGTAGCCAAAGCCTCATGTCACAGAATGCCACTATCTAGTAATAAAAAAATTCATAAACGAACTATAAGTTAAATTTGGGTGGTATTACCTTATTACAATAAACTCGGCTACTGTAGTTTATTCCTCTCAGCTCATCAAACTTATAAAGCAGTGTGAATTAGAAACCACATCCCCGAGCATGCTCAGTATTGTCTGGCCAAAAATAACTGTTGAAAAAAGTTTATAAATATAACACCACCTGTATCTTTATAGGTGCAAGACAGAAGAACATCTCCAACATAAACGTCCATAGATTTGTTGCAAATGCCTAAAGGAGACTCTGGTGTGTAGTAGGCTCAATAAACAAACAAATATCAACTTAATACATATCTTCTGTGACTGTAGCTCAGGTGGGTCGGCCAGTAATGAGTATAAGGCTTACAATATCAGGTCTGTGGTTCAATTGCCTTCCTTCTCCTCTCCACAGGTCCTGGAGAAAGTCAACAAACCCCACATTGCTTCATATGTGTATCCCTGCCTAAAGGTTCCCTACCTCAAAATCAGAATCCCCCCAAAGTGTCACAAATAACTGTTAAAATTAAATGAAAAAGATCTGAAATAAAAAACAAAAAACATTGCTGCATAAATTGTTTGCTTTTTGTTGTGAAATACTAAATGGTTTGACTTCTTCAAGCCTCTAAAATGTATTTAAATGTCATAAAGTAACCTAACCCTGCTCACAACTGCTCAAATGTGGTCGCAGCTAGACACTGCTTCACTGTAAAGAGTGGGGAACCATTAGCTTGAGTCAAGTGAGTGCGTTGATTGTCCGTGTGCACAGCTGATAACCGTATACATAGCCTGCCTACTGGGTGTCCGTGCATTACTTACATTGGGAAGCTGATGAGAGGAGGTATATGACAGGCCAAGTGGTAAACTTTAGGGCAGCAGTCACAGCAGAGCAGATCTCCTCCATTAAGACACACAGCACAGAAATCTTCACTCTCCACCTCCTCAGTCCTTGCTGCAGGTTCAGGCTGCTGGATAGAGTCCACCTCATCCTGTGAGCAGCAAAGATCGGGTCTTTGATCCTCATCGTCGTCCAATTCAACTATATCCACTTCACATTTAGCTTCAGATTCATCCTCCAGCTCCAGGGTTTGATACTGTTCTGCTTCTGGTTCTGGATCCAGTTGGATAACCATCTCTACATCTGGATCCAGATAAAATGTCTCTGAATCAGTTTTGGCATCCGGGTCCCATTCATCACATCCAGAATCAAACAAGATATACGGCTGATCTGGATTAGATTCACAGTCAAAGCCTGAGTCCTGCTCTGGTTCTTCAGAGGGGGAGCTATCAGGACAGTACGGTTCAGTCCAGGAGGTTGGGGTTTCTGGTTGGCTGAAATCAGACGAATCTGCTGGTTTAGACTGAGGTGACACTTCTCTCATCTCCAAAATCTTTGCCTCATTTTGAGTGACTCCATTCTGCAGGCAGAGACAAGGAGAAACAAAGTGATCACCATAAAAGGGAGCTCATGCTAATCCTTGACTCACATAAAGTGTCCAGACCTTTAGCTCTGTACCTGTTGAGGACGGTCCAAGCTGGAGACATCACTGAGGAGCTTGGCTTGTGTTTGGCATGGCAGTCGTACCAGAGAAACCACAGGCTGCAGAAATGATAAGGACACAGACTGGAAGTTCAGACGCTCCAAGCTCACTACAGCTATGCAGGAATTACCCAGAATCCTTTGGGCCTCTGGGTGAATCCTGTGGAATAAATGAAGGCTTGGTTGACTTTTTGTAAGTAAAGCAATAGTGTCCTATGTCTCTAATTGCACCACATTTTCTGGTATGTGGAAAAATCTTTTTCACATTGGAGAGATATTGGAGTTTTATCCAACTTGGATAATATAACATCTTAAAAGGAATAGTTCAACTTTTTGGGAAATACCCTCTTTTGCTTTCTTTCAGAGAGTTAGATGAGAAGATGGATTCCACTCTTATCTCTTTAATTCAATTTTTTATTTTTTTCATTGTCTTTGTTTATGAAGCTAGAGCTTGAACATGATTAGCCTAGCTTAGCATTAAGACTGTAAACTGGGAAAGAGCAAGACTGGCTCTCCCCAAAGCTCAAAAATACACCCGCCAGTACCTCTAAAGTTCACTAATTCACATGCCATAGCTTGTTTGTTGAATGCACAAATAATAATGTAAAAAGGACAATTTATGGTTTTAGGGGAAAGTTATGTGCTGTAGCTATATCTGGCGGACCAACACAGTGACTTACCACAGTTATGTGGTGCACCATGAGGTTGCCAGGCAGTATTCCAGAAGTACTGGGTGGATGGATAAACTGTTGTTCCCCAAGAAAAAGTTAATTCACATAACTCCCTTCAACAACAAACTGTCGAGGCACATGTTTTTTGGGGGCATGTGCATATAGGGACAGAGGACAAAGCTACCTTGCATATCCTCATGTAGAAACTACAGTCTGTATGCAATTAAAAATGTGAGACCATCTGAACTAAAAAAAACATGAAAAAACACATTCATGTATGTATACACCCAATGTAGCATAAACATAACTATGTGTGCATCTCAATAATTATCATACCAAATGTTGCTTCCTGAGCTTTAGAGATGCCTGTAGACAGATTTTCTAAATTTGGACAGAGCCAGGCTTGCTATTTGCCCTTGTTTCCTATCTTTAGTGTCAATGTTCTCATCTTTCTCTTGAAAGACAGCAAGTAAGTGTATTTCCGAAAATATCAAACTATTCCTTTTAATACGTTTTTTTCTCTGTTAGGAGAACATGTTCCTTGTATTGTTCTTATTTTACCTTATTCTCTTCAATAAAGCTGCTACATCTTTTCCAGGTCGTCCATGTCGTTTTTCAGATGAAGGAGCGATCGTTCTGGTCTTTCCATTGCAAGACCTGTTTGACTCCTTTTCCATCTCACAGAATCCACTGCAGGGCTGTTTTTAAAAAATAGATATTTAGTTTAGATTTTATTTTAATCGTAACAATAGTTGATAAAAAAGTAACCCTTTGACAATCGTCTGCCCCTTTCTTAACACTGTAAAACTCCTCCAGCTGTTGTGATAACCCTCTGTTCAATCATTAAAGCCTTATTTATACACTCCCTGTATCTGTATTACGTGTTCTGCTGGGAGGCTTGGCTCCTCTGCTGCTGTTGCCGAATTTGAACCAGTCTCAGATGACATGCCCTTAAGGCCCAGCTGTAGGCCTACTCTACACTTGGCTACCCGTGGCAACTGGGTGGCCCGCCTCTGGGGAAAGTTGCCATGGCATCTGTGAGGCAGGTCTGCCATCTCCAGGAGATCCAGCCGCTTGGGGTGAAAAAATAAGGAGAAAACACAGAAGAAGCTTCTGGTTTTAAATCTCCTGTGTGCTCAGTGTTTGACGGCAAAACACATGAATCAAAACAAACAGAAAAACACCACAGAAGCAGTAGAAGAAGCAGCGGAAGTACCATTTTAAGATGAATTGGATTGCTCATTTGTACAGGAAAAATATCTCTAAAAGCCAAATGAATGAAAACATGTACATAACGATTAGTAACAGAAAATCAACAACTTGCAGGAATCAGGTTTAAGTTGCATCGTAATTGTTCCTTACCTGAATGTGAGTTTAAGCACTGATATAACAAGATGTCTGCTTCAGAAAGCCAGTTGAATGTGTCTCCAGGTGGATGTGAGATGAGGATGAGAGGGATGGCACCGTTCCATGTGTCCAGTATCAAGGGGGATGTGGATGATTTGATTGGTGGAGAGCAGAGCCCCCTGACATTTCAGCACTGTTCAATTAGAGTCACTGCAAGCGTTTCCTATTAATCGTGTTTCACAACTAATGATGTGATGCATCTCTCACAGTAGCCGGGGGATTCCAGGCTTAAAGCCTGTAGGAAAAACTACACTAACGTCACATCAAACAAACACAAATCCATTACTGAATCGTTTTGGAAAGATTCCCTTACAGGTTTGACAAAGCTGAATCCGTTCGAGGCTCAGTTATGGGAGTTTGTCTTTTCTTCAGTTGGAGATAAAATAGAGTTCACTCCCAGTGGTTTAATTCTGACCAATGACAAGTTACAGGCTGTAAAGTTGACTTGAGCTTTGAATAACAGACATTTTGTATGTAAATCTACTGTATGTAAATCAATTTTAACTCTGTCAGATGCAGTCTTACCTGATGATGCAGTACAATCAATTTATTCATGATTTCATAACTTTCTAATTATTTTATTAACTTTATTAACTAGGTTTACTAGACTCCATGAAATAGACCCCACACATGTTATCATATAGTCTACTATGTCCACCATATGTAACTGATTTTTTTTATTACTTCTGTCAAATAACAACCACAAACTCACTTCTGTCAAAAAAAACATGAATTAATTATTATTAATATAAGGTAGAAATCCTTCCAGGAAACTTATCAGTCAGTGAAGGTTATACTCCATATTTCATGATAACATTTACTTGAATGTGTCAAGAGATGTAATGTCATTGTTCAAGGATAAGTGGCGGTATTTTTCTAACAGAAGCAATGACATCTACACTGTAGACTAAAACAGTGTAAACATTTTAAAATGGCAGCGCAGACTGACAATCACAAATTTCCTTGGAAAGTTTGATGTAGTATGCAGAATTATGTATAATTGATTTCATTACTTGTTTTTCTCTTTTCTCTGTATTACCTCATTTTGTGTCCTAGGGTGACTTGAAAGGCGCTAACAAAAAATTTCTATAATAAAATATACATTATTATTATTATTATTATTATGTGTGCTTAGTCATCACTGCTTGGATTATTCTGTAACCATCAATAATAACACTGCATATCTTGACAAATAATAATTAATAAATGAGACAGGAACTAAAAACAAACACAATCTTAGAAAACAAAATCTATCATTTACAACACTGTTTTTTCACCTTTTATTGAAACGTGTGTCGAAATAAAAGACAACCTTCCCAATTCTTTATCATTTGGGGATTTAAGTTTAATGATATAACCCTAACCCTATGAATTAAATGTTCCCATCTAACATACATACAGGAGAAGATAAGGAAGGCTCTTTCAGGGTTGCTTTTTAATGTGGGCTACTCCAGGAAAACTGCCTTTTCATAGCTACTATGCACCCTGGGCATGGAATAATTGGAGTATATCAACTGATCAGTGTGGTTGGCCATTGTGTTTGGCTGTTCTTTTTGTTTGTTGGTTTTTGTTTCATTGTAAATTTTGTCATGTTGTAGGCCTATATGTTGCATTGTAATATGTGTTGTGTTTCTGTATGGCTGCTAGGCCAGGTCTCTCTTGTAAAAGAGATTTTACAAGATCTCAATGGGAGTTCCTGGTTAAATAAAGGTAAAATAATATTTAAAAGTGTGGTAAACTTTAGCTGGTTGTTACTCGCTGTGGGCTCCATAACGAAATCCCATGTTTGCTGTTACCTTTTAGTAAAAATGGAATAAAATGGGACATCTTCCCCTCATAAAACTCCTGCTAAATAACTAGTAGGCTATTGTTTTCAGTCTTTATAATTCACTTTAACTCACTAATTTCTGTCATTCGTCACTGGCATAGACTGTATAGGTCACTGGGCGTCGCTGTGGATTTCTTTGCAATGTTTGTTGTTGCCAGAGCCCTTGCTAGAAGTCAAGTCTCGCACAAAACCGCGTGGTTTCCAAATCCCGTTCCTCTTTCAACTAGCCTCCAAGATGGTAGGTGCTATCATGTAAACCTGTGCATTTATGTTGGGTTAAATCTTTGCCCATCCTTGTTTATTCGTACAGTAAAATACCACCAGATGGCGGGTAGCAGTTCATTCATCTCCTACGGTCACTTACTGGACGTTTTTACTGTGATTTATTTACATTATAGGAATTTGTGAGCGTTTAACTGTCTGCCTCTCCTCGGCCCATGGCTGGAGCAGTCAGCCAGCATTTTCTGTCCGTAGTTACTGACACATTTTAACCGCATACACAAAACCTCTGTACTCGTCGTGAATGTAACATAGGTAGTCACAGTTTAAACTGCAAACGTTCCTGGGAGTAACGTCCTGTTGGACGAGCTATGCGTTAAAAGTGCCGGTAAAAGCAGTTGAATTAGCATACACTGTTAACGTTAGCTTCCTACAGTGCTAGGCAGCATGAAAGCAGTCCGTTAATAAGTACATTGGTGGCTTTAAGCGTGCGGTGTTACTTCTTTTTAAGAATAAAACAACCTGCTAACATCCGTAAAATTCAGTTTATAAACTCTTAAGTCAGAGGATATTTAACGAATTAGCATGCCAGCTAGCTCCACGGGCAATGATAGCAACAGGATTGTTGAAGCTTACCAGATAATCTATTTTAACAAATATCAAACCTATCTTGACAGCCTACCAAGAAAACCAAGACCAGGAAGCTCCGAGGACACGTCAGCCACGGACATGGTCGCATTGGTAAGTTTTAAACTTGTGGTCTTAGTAAGTTAGATGTGGAGTATTGTGCCACTATGAAGTTAACCTTACCTTGTCCACCCCACAGGCAAGCACAGAAAGCATCCTGGAGGTCGTGGTAATGCTGGTGGTATGCATCACCACAGAATCAACTTCGACAAATAGTAAGTGCTGCACAACCTAATATTCTGTTGATGTGTTTTGAGCAAAGGGGGTCCAGACAGTAAGCCAATGGGCTGACATCCTGTTTTTAGACTTGTGTATATGTGCTAAACAATTTCTTATGCAAATAATCCATGTGCACATTTACATCCACAGGTATTCTGATACATGCCAAGTTTCAGTTAATAGTTTTGGGTAATGATCCGAAGAGCAATACCTGTGGGTTTGAATTACAAATGGCAGATCTGTGAAATCATCAATCAGCTTTAATATTTATGTAACTAAAGGCAGATAACTAAGTTGATCTGCAATATATTAAAACATGGTACATTGGGACGTTTATCTGTAGTCTTTTGGTCTGGGTTTTCTTGCTGTGTTGGTGCTGTTCAGTCAGTGTTTTTGTTGTAGAGACTAGAGTCTCATCTTGACACAAATCATTGTCTTGGTGTGCTAGAGTCCTCTTAGAATGAAGACTGGTCCTATTCACCGACTGGCTCTTTTGTAGGCCAGTCAGCCACATGGGCAGTTACAACCTGTTGTACTATGATCTCATACTGCTGTCAGTGGACTGATCACAGCAAATCAAAATTGGACAGAAAACGCCAAAGTAGCTTAGAAATATGATGCACGCTTTTAAAGTGACATGGATCTAAACTGGTTGTGTCTTTGGTTCATTTTGATTATGTTGTACATTAATGGGTAGTATGCTTTTAATACCAGTATAATTTGGCAGTTTAAAATGTGCAAAATTGAAAGTGGGCATCCAGTATTCAGGTTAATTTCGATGCTGCTTTCGTTTTAAAAAGTGCAATGTGTATGTTTGCATTTAGAATAAGCTGAGAATAGGAATCTTAACACCCTTGTTCAGTATTTTGTCGAGGGAGCTTTACAAGTGGAGCAGCGCCTTTTATTTAGTTTTTTTTAACACAGCCAACAATGCTTATGCCCTAGGGTCAATGTTTGTGTCCTAGACAGCAATTAACTGTTTTTGTCTGACCTTCCTGTGTTTCCTCAGCCATCCGGGGTACTTCGGTAAGGTGGGTATGAGACACTACCACCTGAAGAGGAACACAACCCACTGCCCCACCATCAACCTGGACAAGCTGTGGACTCTGGTGAGCGAGCAGACCAGGGTCAACTATGGCAAGAAGCCCGAAGGACCTGCCCCCATCATCGATGCTGTGCGCGCTGTAAGTATTGGCCAATATTTTCATTACCAGCAAGATGTTTGGCCTCCGGCCTTCAACACCATTAAAGCAATGGTGGCGGGTCAGTTAGAGCCTGAACGTCCAAACTCTGCACGTCTTGATTTGCTCAATGTGGTAGCTAATCACAGCCCAATGAAAGTAGGGTGTTTTTGACTAGCTTTGTAGAAAAGAATACATTATGTTGGTGTCAAAATGACTAGTAGGTACATAAAGTTTTGGAATTTGTACAGTAGATGGCTTTAGCCAGGCGATTAAGCCCATTGAAATTACATCCACACAAGTGCTGCTTTTTGCCACGGACGAGCTCAGACTATTATACCAGGTGTCTCATGGAAGAGATCGCTGCAAATAACACCCTTAGAAATAGAAGTCTTGCTCGAACATTTTCGCTCTAAGTGTGGGAGAGGAGTTGATTGTGATTAGGTCTCGTTAGCAGTTCCTCTATGAACAGAAGGGGTGTTACTCGAAGGGGTCCTTTCTATGATAAAGACCTCAAGTCTGAGAAGCACTTTTTGTGGATGTAATTTTGATGGGAAAAATTACCCCAAAGGAATGCGTCGTGGCTTCTGGCTGAAGCCATCTTCTGCATAGATTCCAAAACTTTCTGTGCCTACTGTTCATTTCGAATCTAAACATGTGACAGTAGGGCCCAGGTTTAGCTTTGTAAAACCAATCTGGTTTTACAGACATTACACTTTAAGACATCCTTGGGGGGTTATTAAAGTTGTATTTACTTCACGGGTGATACCGTTTCCCTGGCCCTCGTCTCTGAGCTAAACTAGGCTTAACATATCTAGTACCTTTTGCTGTACTGGATGCACTGTTATCGGTGTTCTCATCTTTGACATGTGGCAAATGTCTTTCCTAAGTTGGGTTTGTTCAAAAGTGAATTCTTCAATTTTGATAGTAATTTTCTTGCAGTGCCATAATCATTCATTCATTCTAATGTCTGTATATTTCAGTCCATATTGAAATGTATGGACAGTAAATGGAACAATAACAGAGTCCCCACTTGAATTGCTAACAAATGCAAGTAGATTAGGTTTTCAGATGTTTGATGTAACCCAAAATATCATGAGCTTTCCTCTAGGTTCAGTCTTTTTAAGCAGATTGGTTTAACAAAGCTAATGTAATGCAGATTAATGTAGTGGATTTAACAATTTCCTGTCGAGCACAGCTGAACATGACTTTTTGTTTGTGCATAGAAATAGTTAATCAGCATTTGTCAGATAAAGTGCTCTCTCTGCAGATATAGTTAGGGGTTATCTTGTTGTACTAATAGTGTTTTTTTTATTTTTTTTTATTTTGCAGGGTTACTACAAAGTTCTGGGCAAAGGCAAGCTGCCCAAGCAGCCTGTGATCGTCAAGGCCAAGTTCTTCAGCCGACGGGCGGAGGAGAAGATTAAGGCAGTGGGAGGAGCCTGTGTGCTGATGGCTTAATGCTCCTGTCAGTGTGTTGTTGGGAAAATAAACTGTATAAAAGAAACATGTTTGTCATGTCTCATTTTAAATGCCTCTATTGCAGTTATGTTATGTAGTACATTTTGAGCTTCTGCTCTGTGAACATATCAGCAGTAATTTTGCATGTTCATTTGATATAGACACTTAGTCTTAACTTTAAATCATTATTAGGATGTGGTTAAATGTTGACGACCACTCTGAGTATGACTATTCATTCTTTTCATATTTCATAACCCCCTAGTCTTGTGAGCCTTTGGTAGGTCCTGGACCCCAAATTGGAGACCAATGTATATGGTGAGCAGCAGTGAGTTGGACTGAAACGTGTCCTTTTAAAAAAAGGTGGGGAAAAATGATAACCTGCCTGTATACTTGGAAAAGCGTGACAATTGACGTGATGCAATTCCTTACTATTTATCAGAGAGAAATGAAACATCACATGACTGTGGGTGTTTGGATGGGCGGGGTTTTACGTGCAGGATTTCCTGTGCTGTCATTTGAAAGTAGCACAGCCTGACTGTGACAGCTGAACTTAGCAAGAGGAGGTTCCTAAAAGTGAGCGCTACATGCAGGTTTACTGAAGACGCGTCGGTTTCTCTGAAAGCCTGGATTTATGTTTGTGTTTACTCGCTGAGCGCCCAGCTGTCCATGCGCTGAACAGGTAAGCCAGTAGATAATCTCTTCACTTCACCCGAGAATTGTTTGACTGCGCGTGGAACACTGAAGTTATGACGAAACGTGAGTAAAACGTGACGTGTGCGGTTGTAATGGTTCGACATTTCGGTGTTTTAGTTGAAGCCCGTGAAGCCGACTGCTGAGAAGAGAAAGTGAGTAGCTGCTGATAAAAGTGACAAACCCTCAGCCTTCCGGTGTGGGTCAGTGGGGCGTTAATCTTTACGCATGCGCCGTATGCCACCATTCATTGCACTATATACATGTTTAATTGTAGTTTTGATAAACCTACAATATCTCTGTCTATACATAAGTTGCTGAGAAGGTTTATGTTAATTAAACCATCAAACATGTTGTAAAGTGAAATTGAGTTTGTAACTCCCTTCTGTCAAGTAGCAGACAATGTACAGTAATACAAAAGCAATCACAAAAATGTTAAATATAAATAAACTATTTTCAATGGGGGGGGGGGGGGGCGCTCTGCAGTCTGCTGGTGCGGCAGCAGAAACTTTTGTGTCTTCCCAGAAGGCAGCAGGGTGAACAGGGCTGGGGTGGGTACTGTCCTTTAGTATCCTTTTGGCTCTGCAGGCACCTCACCGGTATCACTGATGTTCGGGAGATGGGTACCAATGATTTTCTAAGCAGTTTTAATCACCCGCTGCAGAGCCCTCCGGTCCTGGGCCGTGCACATCCCATGCTAGTTAGTGATATTTCCAGTCAGGATGCTTTCTATTGCTCCTTGACAAGAGATTGGCACTGAAATTAAGCCTTCTTAAGCTTCTTTAAGAAATACACCTTAATATTTTACTGCTATTATACTGTTTGAAATAATTTACATCTGTATTTATATCAAATTAGGGTTGCAACTATTTTATTATCCATTTATCTGTACATTATTTTAGCAATATGACGATTAATTTGGTCCATAAATGGTAGTGCTGCAATCATTAATCATTAATCAACTATTAAATTAATCGGCAATTTTGACAATTGAATAATGGTTTGAGTCAGTTTAGTTTTAAGAAAAAAAGTAAAAATTTTCTGATTTCAGAATCAGAAGGAGCTTTATTGCCAAGTAGTGTTTTACACATAGGAGGAATTTGCTGTGGTGATAAGGTGCTACACATAGACAAACATACAGTCAACATAAATAAATAAATGTGGAAATATATAAATATGGAATTGATTCCACCTTCTTAAATGTGAATATCTACTGGTTTATTTACTCTATGACAGTAAACAGAATATCTTTGTGTTGTGGACAAAACACGACATTTGAGGATTTTATCTTGGACATTTTATAAACCAAACAACTAATAATAATGAATCAATAATAATAATCATAATCTTTAGTTATTAATTTAATTTAAAGTAAAATCTGCCTCGCACAACATGATATCCAGCTCGTCATACTGCATACCAGGCTGCTGGCCGGGGCAGGCTTAAAAATAAATAAATAAAGATAATCGTTAGATGCAGCCCTAATAAATATAAAGATTGTAAGGTGAGTGTAAACAAAATGATGGTTTGTCCAGAAGATGTTCAATTTGACGTAATGAGGTTTGATATCATAGAAGACAAATAAAACTAGCAAATATTCATATTTAAAAAGGTGGAACCACTAAAGTTGTGGCATGTTGGCTTTAAAAATGGCACATTATTAATACTGTTGATTCATTTCCTGTCATTCATGTTGATTGTGTTGGCTCTATATCAAATCATTATAAAGAACAAGTATATTTGTAAGATACCTCTAGTCTGTTGGACTTTGAGCTAAAGGAAACTTACTGAGTGCTCTCTGCTTGTTCGTCCATTCAGGTGAAGGGCATCTGAGTTTAACTTCGACTTGTGCATGGCTAACCAAGCCTGGCTGGAGTCTTCTCTGCGGCGCTCTGCCAGTCTGGGCCTGGAGGTGCTGGAGCGGGCCTCCAGGCGGAGTGTAGACTGGACGAGCACTAGAGCATCCCAGACACCCACCACTACAGATGAAGACATACAAATCCCAGCAGTTAAGGTACAGGCACATTTTCTGAATATTAACCCTTTTATCATTACTCATTTGCTGTGGCTCATTTCTGCTCATCTTCTCTCAGTTCTCATGCTCTTGTCCTTTTCCAGAGAACACACACAGAGCTTGATGACGTCTTTGCAACCATCGCACAGTTCATGGAACAAACAACCTATCAGTGCAAGGTCAGTGATTATTAACCTGCCTGCACGCCTATGCTTTTAGCAACAGACCTGGAGATTAAAATGTGAATATTCTCTGTGCTGCAGAGGTTTTATGAGTCTGACTGTTGCACTGAGCCCACTGACACTGAGAGGAGTCATGTGTCCAGGTTTCACAGACGATCAGCTGCTGGGATGACAACACCTGCACTGTCAACCAGAAAACATGTAAGGGCTCCATACAGCAAAGTAAAGTAACTTTTTGTTTGACTCATATGCAGCTTTCATCTGTCAAAAGTGACTGTTGATCAGTAGGAAGCAGACAAGCTCTTAAAAGCAGACTCAAATGAACAGATCTCTGTCAGTTTAACAGTTTGTGTTATAAAACAATTGCCCATAACTAAAATTGACATCCTGTGGGAATAGTGTTAATCTTTTTAGAATTATTTTGGACCTCCAAGCCCGGAAAAAAAATTTTGAGATGTTATTACATAATATTCAAAGTTCTTTACCTCTTTTGCTCTGCACCATGGGTTGGAGAAAAAACTTGTGTGCATTAAATGACTGCGTATGGTCTTTAAGAGCTGTTTGGACTTAATTATACAGAACAGCAAACCATAGCAGGCAGCTAAAAGCTGCAAAAAGATGGCAAGTAAAACAATATTTAGTGCAGTGCTAAAGATATAGTTTATATTAAAGTTAGACTGATGAGGTTCATGATCAGTGTGTTGCAAAAAAATGTTTGGATTATCCAATTAAATAAAACTAATATTCAATTAAATCTAAAATACGACACCAAAAATGCTGCAGTTGACTGTGATAGGCTACACCTATCAATAATGCATTCAAAAACATAAAATGCCCTTAAATGAAATAGTGAGTGTCACAACCACCCAGACAGACATCAACAGAAGTGAAATGAATGAGTTCAAGACATCTAGTAGAAATATTTTTATCCAGTTTGTATTTTGGGCTTTTTTAATTGAATCTTATGCGACCGCTGATTTTTTTGGAGCCTCTATTTGCTTTCAAGTGAACATAACAGTGCTTCCACGTGAGCTTTACTCTCCAGCTGTGTTGGTTGCTGCTTGGGGAAAAAAAGTAAAATAAAATCTTTTTTTAAATTCAAGTCTCATTCTTCTCAGGGCCGTGTGTCGGCGGCAGGTGAAGATTTCTACATTGAGCTTTCACCAGGGACGTACGCTATCACTGCCAGCATGCCAGAGTCACAGCAGCAGACTCAACTGGTCAGCATCAAAGCTGGAGAGAGTATCAACCTCACCTTTGATCTCTGACACCTCACCCTTAAACCTCAATAACAAAACTGAGCAATGTTAAGGCTGTTTGTGTGTTTATTGCGTGTTTTTACACTGATTTTGCAAGTTTACATTTTATTTAGCTATGAACATTTTAATTTGCTGCATATTGAGAAGCCATATTGTTACTGCATTTTACTTGAGTATATTTTTATGAAGATTGTATGTCCAAACTTTGCCCTAGAACATCATGTAATGCACAGTATTTTACCTGCACTAATGCCGCACCACTGTATTAAAATAAAGTATTTTTTAAATCAGTTTCTTGCTTGTTTATTCCAACTTTATATAGGTATATGGTGAGGTTTTTATCTCTACACACACAGACGTATTAAGTGTAAGCAGAAGTTGTATTGTTGCCAGAGAAAGGCTTCAGTCCCATTGGTGGTCGAGGTTTGAATAAGGTCGTTCCAAAAACATCTCTGATGTTTGCTCTTCTTCCTTTAGCACCAGCAAGCGACTGAAACAGAGAGCTGTGATTGGGCGAGGAGCTGATATGTGGGACAGAGGAGCTAAATCTTACAGGTTGTGATGTCCTCTTTGGCACTGCATTCCCTGCAGATAAATACAGAAATATATCAACATGACTTGATCTTATGGGAGTTGATGCTGTTACTTTTTACATTCTCTATGCTACATGCAACTTACTATAAAAGGTCATGTCTGTTTGGAAGAATAGCACCCTCTTCCGGTTGTGGTGTAAAACTAGTCATGATTGTTAAATGGTGAAAGGACTGTACGTTTATAGCACTTTTCTACTTCATGCATGGACCCTTAACAGACAAAGCGCTTTACAATTTGCCTCTCATTCACCCATTCACACACACTCGTACCAATGACAGTGATGTAGCTCTTGACAATGATCCCTTTATAAAATTTTACGTTAAATCTAATGTCTCAAACGTATCGTTACGGTGACATAGATGTTTATCGAGGATTTGGGTGCTCTTAGGAGTTTCTGAAGTTAGGTTAGAAATGATACTGTAGATTGCATGTGCTTTATTTGTTTGTAGTATTTATCTAGACAAATTGTTCAAATACATGTCTACTATTTGCTTAGTGTCTGGGCCTCTATATACAAGTTTCAAATAGCTTACCAGGGTGTCCCTTTTCACAAATCTGCCTTATTTCTTATGAATGTATTGTGAATAAACTTAACTATATAAGACCAGACCACTTTAAGACCAGGATGTATGTTCCCACCTGGCTGTCTGTGTTGTGGCTCTGGCCCAGTTCGCCTCCAGTACTTCCATGGGGGACGCTGTTGTTTACTTCTCAGCTTCATTGCAGGAGGAAACATTGCTCTGGTCTCATCCTCAGAAAGAGATGAGGAGGAGGAGGTGGAGGAAAAGGGCACCTCACTTTTCCCCACATCTGTGTCTTTGAGGTCCACCTGTTTATCTTGCTCTGCCCTCTCAAATCCATCCATTCTTCCACAGCTTGAGCTATAACTTGGTGGAAATGAGCCTGGCCAGTGACTTGTGACTGAACAGCAGGAAGAAGAAGACGGACACCGGTCGGTGCAGAACAGCCGGGGAGTGCAGGAGGAGCTGCGAGCACAAAGCCAGTTGCAGCAACGACTGGAGGCTGATGTCGGGATTTGGAGCTCCCTGACTATTCTGTCATGCTGAGAAGCTGAAATGGGCAAAACCAGGCCGCCAGGAACCAGTGACACACACCTGTTCCACATCAGCACCCGGAGGCATGTAACACCATCGACTGCAATGCCAAACAAGAGATAGAGTGATCTACTGAGAAAAATGATTTTAGAATTTTACATAAATTTAGTGCTAATCTGTGCTTTTTGTGGTAATTACAATCAAATAATAATAGTTAAACATTGTCTCCATTTATGTAGAACTATTAAAATTAAGATTAATAATAAAAGTAATTTCAACAAATGTGAAACCTAAAGGAAATGCAATTACTCAATTGCTTAAACACATTTCTTGAAATTATGCCTCTTTTTCTCAAAACTCTAAACACAAATCCACAACTTCTCACCCAATTCCTCTAACGTCCTATATTCAGGTCCAAATTTAAGCTCTCCAAACTTGCCCTCAGACAGGACACACAACACCCTCAAAAACACACACTACAACACAGTTTTACACACTGGTGAGATAAATTTAAAACAATACTAAAAAAAATTGTTATAAATAATGATGCTTGTGGTTCCCCCCTAAGAAATCTTTTCACATGATGAACACATCAAAAGGACACTGGAATTTTACATAAGAAGTTCATGGTATTAATCTTCTTAATCCACAACACGGCTGTAAAAATGTAAACACACATACACTATTACCTCCAAAACAATCTCTACGTTGTGTGGCCATCACTCTCCCCGGACCGTATCTCTTCAGATCTGGCTCCCAAGGCGAAAGGACAGTATCACCAGGTACCAGACAATGTGTGCTAGCTCTTGTGTGGTTCAACATGTCGAGGGAGCAAACCAGCTGCCTCTGGGAGGAGGTCAACCCCAAAAAGCAGCGCCTCCTGAATGGTCAAAGTCTACAACCCAAACTCCTATGCGGCCCTAAGTTTTGACACAGGGAAAGACATGTCTCCTTTACGAGTCAGAATATGCAGCAGTCTGTAATGATTTGGACACATTCTTTGTTTAGTTGACTCGAGCACAATGGGATTTGAAATTGAATAATGACTACGAGATTGATGACTTTCAGTTTTAGCTTTAGCACATTTACATCCACAACAGATGGACTGTGTAGAGGTATAACTTTAGGAGGCAAAGAGTATTAGTTAAACTACACTTAAATAAAGTCATTATACTAAATATTTGGTGTCAAATCTTTCTACTTTTTTGCCACCCAAAAATACCATGGATGCTTTGGCTGTAGATTTATTAGTGATGTGTGGCATTCTCCTAAAATTTTATACTTAATATGGATTTAAACACCCTTAAAGCCTCATGGTGATTTCAAATCCACTGTGCTGATGTAGAGATAGAAACTGTCCAAATACATGCCTGTATGATCATCTATATGTATATAAAGTATCCTCTCACCTGTATTTGCTGTATTACAGTGCCCATGTAGTAGAGGCCATCCACCTCCCTCCTGGCAAGCACTCTGCATCCTGGAAAGAATTCTGGACTCAGGGTTTGATCAGACAGCATGTAGGAGGTAACCGGGCGGAAGGAATTACCCAGACTGCACCTGAGTGACCACGGGACGCCATGAAACAGCTGAAGAGTTACACATGTTCAGTGCAGGTATGTTATTTTATTTACAGCAACCTAGATGTACTAGCCTGCATGTAAGGTCAAATGCTAAATACATAAACATCATCTGCTACCTAGCAGATACTGTCTGCACTGCATTGATAAAATGTGCGACCATAGAAACCAACCTTAGCGGAGGCGTTGACATGCTGTGTGGGATGAAGACTGAAGAGGATGGACAGCAACACTTAACTGGAGTGATTGTTGGCACTAATGAGCGGTTCTCCGCAACACACAGTGGAACCACCTGACAACATGCATGGAAACACACAAACACAAACTCAGTCACAGCCGTGTCTGTTAGACCTTTGACCTCACAGTGAAGCCATTTTTATTGTAGATGGGATGTGTTGGGGTTAAGGTTTTTGAACAAATCCATAGGTAATTTGTACATTTACAAATATGTCAAATTATCCTCTCAGATAGAAATATCCCTTCCTGCCCAGCGAAAACCATGGATCTCCAAATTCAGTGATTTTGAATGTTAACATTTCTGATAATCTAACAAATTAAGTGTTCCTTTATGACTTGAGAAATTTCTCCTACTTCTTAAGCTAAAATAACCCCGCCCCCTTTGAATCAGTTGGAAAATGCATTGTCACAAAGCTGAACACACGGCTGTTTTTCTGAACTCATGAAAAGTAGACTTTTTAGAGATACATGGTTCTCACGGGACAGCGACGCTCTAAACTATGATTATCTTATCAAATATGATGCATTGCTGTAGATCAAACTACCCAGCAGCTTATAAAGTAGTTAAAATTAGCTCAACCTTAAACATCTACAGCAGTAAAATACACACTAATGCAGAAGTAATATGAATCCAGAAACATCATATAGTAAAACACCTACATGGACTATTGTTTCTGCATACTAAGTACTTTTCATACTTTAAGTTAATTTCATAATATATAGACTATAAAGGTATTGTTACCTTTACTTAAGTAAGAATCAGAATACTTCCTCCATCATTCATTCTTTGAGTGTATTTTCTTGATATATTTCTCATGAGTATACTGAACTCCTCCCTGTCTAGTGAGGTCAGTGTGTATCAAAGTCTCTGATTGGCTGGAAGACAAACCAAATAATAAAGCTCTACAAAACGCATTCAAATATGGAAGTATAGATTCTCCCAGCACTCAAACCTATGTGGACTCATTATTTGAATGTGGAAGATGTTTAAAGCATGAGGATTTTTGTGGCACCTTACTTGGTGACAGGTAAAGCCTACAGATTTTCTTGTAAGCACCAAGGGTGCAATTGTAGATTTCTCTATTTTACCTCTCTGAGAGGTACAAGAGGGTCAGAAAAGAGGAAATTTCTGTCTTGGGGTTCAATAGGAGTATCAATATTAAAACAAACCACTTTTCGGTGGGGGGGTTTCAGCCATACCTTCTCCAGCTCTCCATTAAAACCCAAAGGAATCACATAACAACTCCCTCTTGTGGCCTGGGTCAGAAACTGCAGGTAGTCTCTAGTGACGCTGTCCAGGGGTCCACCTGAGTCCTGCAGGTAGAAGACGTTCATGTGCCTCCCAGCTGCCAGGGCAGGCAGGGCTGTCAGCACGGCCTCCGGCTTGTCGGGCAGCTCCGTGCAGAGCAGGTGGATGGCGTGACAGGCGGGGTCAGGGAACGCCATGCGCAGGGCAGCCAAGAGATCCCTGCCAGGGCTGCAGCTGATGGAGTGAATCCAGGACAGAGCCATGTACACTGTGTCAGGAGCACAGGGAAGCATGTGGTGGGACCAGCAGTTCAACTGCAAAGTAGAACAAGAAAATCAGTGACTTTAAGGAACAGCTGACTCGCAGGTGAAAAAACAGCAAATTGTTAAATAAATGGCATATAAAACATTATAGGCTTTAATTTATATTGTATATATTAAAAAAATATTATATACATTAAAACACTGGACTTGAGTCACATGACTAAAACTTGAGTCAGACTCGAGTCATTAATCTGATGACTTTCGATTTGACTTGACAAAATCAAGACTTGACACTTGATCAGTGATTTCAAATAGACTTTAGCCTTTTCTCTTGGCTCAGAAATTACATGTGATTGAATGAAATAATTGTAATTATGTCACAGGAAAAACATATCAAGACTCACCTATTCAAATTTTGCTTTCAAAATGTAAATTTTCTGCGAAAGCAGCCTAATAAATACAAATTTTAAAGCAGTGTTCTTTATTTCTGTAAATGTATTATAACAATTGTTTTACTGTTAAAATAGTTTTAAGTGTCTTAAATTTGGTGAAGGGTGAATGATGACTTGTTTAGGATTCAAAACTTGGAAAAATTGGAACTTATCTGTCTGGACATGAGATTTCATTGGCAAGACTTTTTCCCACAAGGTATTTCAAGAACTAAAGGTTGGGTTTCATGAGATTTACAGTAGATGTTCATGTTCTTATAGAGAAAGAATCCTATGTTTTGGTGAACCCATGACCTTTTTTATGGCAACACCATTAGGACAATATTTTTGTCTCAACATAGAAATCAGATGATCAAATTGACTTGGAATCTTTATAATACTTCCTAGATGACAAACCCTCTCCTTCCTGGAAGCTCCTTGGCCAAATAAATTGCTTATAATGAACAATACAACCTCTAGAGTGACCATAGACATCTTTCCTTGTCTTCTGAGGTGTAATATCCTTTCTGTGTGCATTATGTCTGATGTTGGTGTTGTTATGTCATCCAACCTCACCTTGCCTGAGAATGTGATGATGTTGAAGAGAGAGTCCCTGAGCAAAGCTTTGTTCAGCAGGGTCTGAATCAGCAGTTGTTTCACTGACCCCAGAACAGGTCTCATGCTCTCTGAACTGTCCACGACAAAAGTGACGTTGCACTTCTGTTTGCCAAGAAACAACGGAATCAGCGCTGCCTCAGAAGCCACCGTCTGCCTGAAAGCCATCCCTGTGCCGCAATAATGTCAGGAAATTTTATTTTAAATTCAGTGGCTTTTGCATCATTTAATAGTTGAGAATAACTGGAAAAGAGAGAAAGACAGGGATAACGTGGAATGTTTAGGACTATTAAAAAACTGAATATGTTGCAATTTTACAAAACACAGCAATGCTGAAAATATCTGCTTGTTTTCTACACATAACAATGAAAATGAAATTCACTTCCATGTGAACTTAAATGTGGGGTGCACTTACAGATTTAGCATTACATACAAATATATTTAATCTTTTCTCTTGAAACATGCTCACTTCCTTTAACAAAAAAGAAAAATTATTACAGCAAAAGGATATAAACTGGTTCATCTAAGTATCTAAATATGTTGCACATTTTAATCAGTTTAATTTTGTCTTTATTAAAATGTGATTATCTACTTTAGTTATATTACTTTGTGCTGCTGTTATGATGTTCTTTTCCCCTAAATTGTTATGTTAAAACTTGTTTTACTATATTAAGCTCATTTCACATTTTTTTTGTTGAGTCTCTGTGAGAGCATAAAACACTTTGCTATCAAATGTTTATCCACCAATACAAAACACTCTGCACACACATCTAGAACTTATCCTCCTTTGTCTGATAATAATAACAGGAACTCAATTAATATTTTTATGTTCTGTAAAGGAAGCAGCTAAATAGATGACGCCTTTCTTGTACTTTTTCTTTGATCTGAAAGTTACACAGATAAAGTGAGTGGGAACTTTACCTGCAGTTTTTCTGTTGTTCACAGTCAGCTGCAGAGGACAACTTCGCCTCACTGTTGATGCTGGTTTCCATGGAGAAATGTTCAAGTCCAAGTAAGTCTTCTTTGTGGCCACTAGAGGGGCTGTTTGCCTGCCAATCAGCTGCAGGGGTAGTTACCAAACACTACTGTCATGGATGGCACAGTTGCAATGGTACCATCAAAGTAGTTAATCAGCTGAGCAATTAAAGCTGCTCTCCATCCCTTCCTGAATATGCAGGGGTGAGAAATGACACTGATATCTGCAGGTGTCAGGATATTTCTTCTGTTTTACTTGTTACCAATAGCGTTAATTGTGTCACACTACCTTTGGCTGGCCCAGTTTCATAAATGGCTCTCATATAAAATAGCACAAGGGCTAGTTATGATATATTGTCCAAAGTGCTACATTTCCTTTTGAAAAATTATGCAAAAAAACAGAAAATATTTCACATTTATTTGGGATTTTATTTGATATTCAGTGCTCTGCTTTGCTACAGTCCTGTGATAAAACATATCACAAGTGTCACTATCATTTTGTAAACATGAAAAGGCAGTGACCTCAATGCAAACATGTTTTGGATTATAGAAAATACATTTACAACATTATAAAATACAGTAGATAAACAGTTGTTCTGTGTGCAACAGATTGTGCTAAGCGAATCAGCCATACGTGAAATACAAACCCTCCAACCTTTGTTCTCCAAGGTTAATTTCCAGCTATAAATGTAGGTTACTATGTCTGGCAGAACAGTACTAATTTGTAGGATACAAGAGCTATAAATCACAATTCTATCAGAATCTTAAAGTCTACAGCAAGTACTGTTCATAATTTGTTTTCTAGCTGCACAACATGTACTACTATAGTGACAGCTTGAACATGATCATACTTAGGCTACAAGAATGCTATTTATTGCCAGTGCTACATGAGGAGCAGCTGCTGGGTTAACTGCTGCTTTGATGTTAAAATGAGTGAAGTCAGTGTGGATTATCTGACACATGAATGCAACAAACAAACAGAGAGAAAGTGAGAATTTATGTGGTTAAAAAAATGTGAAGTTCCACGATGAGGCATCTAGTTGTAAGAGTAAATAATTCTATTGCTTTTGGTCACTGTGTGTGTTGGGGAGAAGGGAGGTCAGTATCATTGGTCATGGAAGTCAGAGGAGCTGAAAAGAAGAACAGAAGGAGCAGAAAGGTGCTTGGTGAGATTCATTTGTAGAATATTTGGTTTTCACAACTTCACGAGTGTCCGTTGTCCAATAATTGTCTTTCT